AGAGCAAGTTAGATGTTTTAGACTAGAAAAATTGCCAAAAAATAAAGGTAAAATTATTGGTCCCCGGCAACGGCGCCAAATTGATATCGCGTGCGAACGCACACCAATTAACCTAATGTGCACACTACCACAATCGAATGGTATGTCGATGTAGCACTTTAGGATCGAATCCACAGAGACCAAATATTACACTTTATTTCTATAGGATCAAATTCAAGCTAAAACGATAAGTTTGTAAAGAAGCAAATCACAAGAAACAAGTAATTAAATTGGGTTTTAATTTCAGGATATAAGGATGTCAACCTAGGGTATCTCATTGGGTGTTAATCATGATGAACCAAACAATTATTCAAGCCTTTTAAGAACAGCCTAGAACTCAGATTTCTTAGCTAGAACACCCTACTCTCGCAGGTGTGCTCCTTTCGCAGAGGAGCAATGGTACCTATGCTCTCGCGTGGATCAATACTCAACAGCAAACATTAAGAACAGACCTAATATGCTCACAGCACACCCTGATATCTACTTTCGCTGACCAGGGATGTGATGCTTGCTCTCAACAGTTCTAGCAACCTAATTCAGGATTAATGATAAAAGGTTAAACTTTAAATCAAATACTAAGTGATCAAATCAGTATCAGCAGTAAGAACAGTGGAGAGCAAAGGCGAGAATGATGCTTATCTATGTTTAGTTCAATGGATCAACACCCTAGAACCCTAGGTTAACAAGGTGACTACTCAATCATGGCACAAAAGAACACACAAATCATGACTAAATAATGCATTAGATAAATAGAAGTATAAGGAGGGTTCATGGATTTCTTCTCTAGAAACCAAGAGGAGGAAGCCTTGGCCCTTACAAAATAGCTAGAACAAATCTTCAACAAAAAGTCTCAAGAATAGTTTCTTGTGTAAAAACTAATAAAACTCTCTGTGTGTTTTTGAGTGGAGGCGGCTAGAGATATTTTATTGGAGAGACGGCGCCTGCTAGGGTAGAGAGGGAGTGCTTTTTGAATCTTTCCCGAAATAGATCAGAGGTCTCATTAAAAGACGGGAGCAAAGGGGGGTTTGCTCCGCGATAGAGAGAGCAGACCGAGGGTTGCTCCGTTCGGATGCTCTGCGATGGAAAACTTTGGTTTTTGCATCCTTTCTTCCATGAGCCCCTTCTGATTCATTCCAACTCGTTCTACACCTGAAACAACTCAAAACACACTAAGAACACTCCAGAAAAACATAAATATGATATGCAAAGTATGTGTGTATCATGTCAAAAACACAACATATCAGAAACTAGAGTATAAAATTAACTGCATCATCCTTACTCGAAATGAGGAAGATGATGTCGATTTGAGATTATTGTTTCATGAATAAGATGTTTTAAGTGTTTACAAAAGTAAAATGTCATTGTTTGTTTAATATTTAATCAGTTTATTAAACATCATTTAACAATTAACATAAGTCTGTTTTAGTAATTGAGTTTAACAGTTGACTATTTGAGTTTCTTAAATGGCCAAGTCAACAAATTATGAAAGTTAAAATAACCAATATTTAAAAGTTGGAGATTTTTTTTGGTTCAAACATGAGTTAGGGGTTCTTTTTCTTTAATTTGAAAATTTATGGTTTTAATGGTTTTTTTCTCAAATAAATAGATATTTGCGGATATTTACGAATACTTACGGATATCTCATATGTTTGATTAATACAAATAATTTAAAAATTCGATACGAATTTGGTTTGTAAAATATTTTTTTCCATGATATATAAAATAGAAATTAAAAGAAGTAGTGAATCTACATATTGGTAAAAAGTTTAAATTTAGTTAAAAATTATTATAACACAAAACTTAAGAAAAAATATCATTTTCATAAGTTTTTTTTCTTCTTTTTATGCAAATCTTTTATATAAGTAATAATGTGAATATAACTTGTCAAATCATATGTTAAAAGAATAATTATATAATTCTTTACATTTAAAACTTTAAATATAATCAAGAAATATATTTGTATTTATATATTATTGGATCGGAGTGAATATCCACTTTCCAAAATTTTAATATTTGTGCTTTGCTTCGATTTTAACGGATATTTATTTTCAGTATTTTTTTGCTTTGAAAATTTACAAATATTCTGAATTTTCAGATAGAATGAAACGAATAACGAAATGAATCAAATTTAACGAATAAAATATACAGTCGTAAGGTACACCCTGAAGTTTTTGCCACAGTAATTGCAGCCAATGGCGGAGCCACATGACACAAGGGTGGGGCATTTGGCCCCATGATTTTCTAAAGTTACATGTAAAACTTTGAATAATTTCTTTTTTACCCCTTTATTTTTTTTTAATTTGACCCTTAATATTTTAACCAATTTCAGTTATGTTCCCTACAAAAGTTTCCGCTGCCTCCGCCCTGATTGCAGCCACAAACAGAACACATGTTAATCTTACACTATTAAAAGCCCTTATTCTAGGCTTTTTAAACTGTCCACGTAGGACAATTTAATCAACCAATGGGATGAGCTCTTTTCACCACGTCAGCGAACGAAATTAGGTGAGTCTTGTGCTTTTTTTTTTTGTAGCTTCGTAAAGGCGTCGTGGCGATCTCCTCTCCTCGACCGATCAAATCCATCGGCAAAACGGTGTTTGTTCCGGATTCACGATCCCGATCCCAACTCGAAGAAAGAAAATCTACGGTGAATTCCGATGAGCAGATCAATCTGACCCGTCCTTACGCGGAGCTTTGGATGGGGACTCACGAGTCCGGTCCGAGTTACTTGGAGGATGCTGATGGCTCCGATGGGGTGACTCGCATATCGGTTATTGCTGAAAACCCTGAATCTCTTGGAGATAGGGTTTTGGAGAAATGGGGTTGTGATCTTCCATTTCGTTACATTGTAAAGATCGCTGTTTTTTTTAAAGGATTTTGCTGAGTTGAATCTGTTTTTTTTTTACAGAATGTGATCAGTATTAAGGGATTTAAAGAGTGTGGTGGATTCTTTATGATTCAACCCTTGTTCCATGTTTCACATTTTGCTCAAATTGATTCCTTATATACGCATGATTTTTTGGGTATTTCTTACTTAAGATATAGAGACGTTTTGGTTCTCATAGAGCTTAGACTTACGTTTGTGGTCATTCTATTTCCAGCTGAAAACTGCTAGGTAAGCCGCGGCTTTTGGTGCTACTGGAGCTGCGCTTGGAGCTGTACCTACTGCTGCTTTTGCCTGGAAATACTCCAAGAGTCCACATGGTAAACACGTTTTCTCTCTAATCTATGAATAACCTTTTAATCTTAGAAAAAATGAACACCTTCTGGAGTGAGTTAAACGCTTGCAAAGTGTTGTGACATGGGGATTACATGTTGGCAGACACTAAAATTTTATTGTCTTTATTTTCTGAATGTGATACTAAACTTTTGTGTGTTTGAACTGTATGCGTAATTTCCCTTGGTAAGTCTTGACACCTCTGTGATTGGTGCTTGGTGCGACAGGTACTGCACTGTCCTTCTTAGGAGGAGGTCTTTTTGGTTGGACCTTTGGTCAAGAAGTCGCTAACCATACGATGCAACTGTATAAGCTGGAGACAATGGCTGCTCAAGTTAAGTTCATGGAATGGTGGGATCGTAAGTCTCGAGGAAGGTCGTGAACCCAAAAAACAGAGAGACACGTGCTACTATCTCTGCCAAGATTGTCTTGCAAACAACATGAGATGGTTGGTAGCAGTTAAATCCATTTTCAGACTCTCTTTCGAATCTTTCTTTATGCTCTCACTCTTTAAACATGTTTGTTTTCCATGTCTCAATAATTCAACATGTTCCATGCAGGATGTTGAGTTGATGAATTGAAAAGGTCTCATTTGGATTTATAATATAAAGCTCATTCAGTGTTAAAATGACTTTTGGGACTTGAAGCACCAAGAGGTTAGCACCAAGAGGCTAGGCACACTGATCTGGCCACTTAATAAAGAACAAAACAACAACAATAATCTTCTTCTCGAAAGAGATCCTATTGGAAAAGGCAGACAAGATGCTTGTGGCTGCCAAAATCCATGGTCTGTCGAATGTGTTAGAATTCATATCAAGGCAAAACAGGAGAAACTGAAACTCGAACTTGGCTCAGCTTTCTACATGTGGTGTTTTGATACAATGGGTGAAGGTAATCTGCAGTATTGGACAGACTTAGAACTGAAGACGGTGATCTCTCTGATGCCTTCTCCACCTACACTTATCCCATCTTTCTTCGATGAGGTCAAGAGTGCTCTACCTTCAAAGACCAGAGGAAAAATTGTGAGCTACTTCTACAACGTGACACTTTTGCAGTTTAGAGAAAATCAGAGTAGAATGACTCCTGATGAGATAGACAGTGATGCTGATACACAATACAAGGTTGCAAACCTAGAAGCAAACACATCACAGAAACCCGTCATGCTTACACCTAAGAAAAGAAGGCATCCATAGAGAGGTAGTAGGCGTGATGAATCTCATCATTTTTTTCTTTTCATTGCCATTGAAACTGCTTATAAAACTCTGCGGGAGAAAGGGTTCTTCTGGTCATCAGTCACGTCAGCTCAGCAAATTTCTGGTTTTGGTATTTTGAGGTATATACTTCCATCGATCTCACTCTTCTGATTATTCGACCTGGAGTTGGAGTATTCTTTCTTTTGGTTTAAAATGACTGAAGAATCAGAGACGAGGTGTCTCCAAATACAACAAGTACAGTAAATTTTTCGGATTATATTGGTGAATACAACAGAGGCAAAAAACATTTTGTGGACAAATTTGTAATGTGTTGTTAGTTTGATCTTAAGTTGAATATGAAGAATGGTAAGATTGATTTGTTGCTTTTAAGTTTCTCTATTAGCTTCCTTACTTTTGCATCCTATTTGTGTTAAAGTATTTGAATATTAATGGGTATACTTTGCCATGTTAAGTTTCAGATTATAATTCATTTTTGTCACATCAGTTTGTATATTTTCCCAACGTTGATTAATACTTTTTCCCGATTATGATTTAATCTTATATTTATTTTTTCTTCATTGGTTAGGATATGATCTTTGCCAAGACTGATGAATTTCAGACTGATGATTTTGCATGAAGGTTTAAATCAAAGGTAGTTTACGATACTGAATCTTGCCTGATATATTTAAATTTGTAGCTTCTCTCTTAACGTGTATTTCAGTCTCCTTAATTGACACTTTATGATCTACTAAAATAAAGCTATAAGCCATTTCTCTTAATCTATTGTTTCTTAAACAGGTTAGTGCTTTTGATAACAACATGAACTCTCTACTCAAGCCATTCCATCACCAAGCAATGTAAAAGTACTGCAATTTTCCCTGATTTTTTCTTTCAATTATTCAACGTAGTAAATAAATCATGTGATATGTGTTCGGTTTGTAAATCAGGTTTTTTTTGTTTAGAAAGTTCGGATGGAACTTCTCGCATTACTATAGGCCATAACCGGTTCTAGAAAATGTGAGTATGTAAGTCCAATTTTTTTTTTGATATGTTTGAGACCATGTATGGGTTCAGATCAAACAACCGACAAAATATGTTTGATATGTTTGAAAATTAATATATTTTTTAGAAAAAAAAAATTTATACTGTATCTTTAATTTTAAAAGCTAAAACATGATTGATTATTTAAAAAAAAAAATTCTTTAGAAAAAAGTATATATCTAAAACATTTACCACCATTACCAATCAATCTCTGAGTTTATTTATTTCAAATTCATTGGACAACATAATAAAATAATTTGCATATTATTACATATTTTATTGGTAGTCAAATTTAAAATAATATATACATATTCTTTATAAAAAAAATAAACAAACTAAAATTAATCAAAATATATAAGAAGATCAACTAAGTTTGTATAACCCCACACATGCAATATTAGTCAAAAATCTCGTTCGTATACATAAAGAGAAAGAAACAAAAACACTTATTACAATGGTCACCTTTTAGGGATCAGGAGAACAGGTCGTTACTTGTTCGCATGTGTAAAACACTAAACACATTATACTTTGTTGAACCAACTTAATTATTGAGGTAATGGTTAAGACTTATTCCCTCCGTTACATAATAAGTGTCACTTTAGACAATTTTTTTCGTTGCAAAATAAGTGTCGTTTTCGGTTTTTTATGCAAAATTTATTTATTTTATTCTGTAATTCATTCTTCTATTGGTTGAGATGTATAGGTAATTGTGTTTTTATACGGGAAATATGTAAAATTAATTATTTCCTTAATATGTGTGCCAAGACCTAAAATGACACTTATTATAAATCAGAGGGAGTACTATTTAGGGAATTTGCCTAAACTACCATTTTTGGGATACACTATTTCAAAACTACCTTAACCATGTTTACCACTAAAATTCTAATGGTTAATGTACCATTGTACCCCTAACTAATTAAACCTAAATCTACTTTTTCTTTCCCACTATTTCTTCTCCGATGAGATTTGACGGTGGCGTGTTCTCTCTTACTCTCACAAAAAGAAAGGAAGCAAAACGAACGTCCGTTTCAGCTTCAATCGATGGGTCAAACTTAGAGTAACGACAGCTCCGAAGTTCTAACGACGACGACGACGAATAGTACTCCTCCTCCTACTTCTAGGAACTCGCCGCGGGATTCTGATGATAATTCGTCGTTTCCAATGGATTCTCTAATTGCAGGTTCGACGTTCTGAATCTAACATTGAAATGATGCTTTATTAGTTGAATTAGTTAAATACTGGTCTATGCTTGACTGGTGATGATAATGATGATGATAATGATGTGTATGCTATTGCTCACCATATAAGTTGCCTTTTTAAGTTTAGTCTTTGTACTCTCTATTAATATATAACAGAAGCTGCAGCGTTTGGTGAGGATGGCAATGAGAACTCAACCATCATCACAGTTTACCCACAAGTGCTTATAATAGCAGATTCTCTTGGTCCCAAACGTCAGTTTTTAAAGTCAAGAGGAGCTTCAGTCTTTGAGCTCGCTGAGGTTCTCTCAAAAGTTCCTAAGATATTGGGATCCAAAAAGACAAAGCTTTGAGCACATACTATGATTTTGTCAAAGACATCATAGAAGCCGACAAGAGTTACAAGTTCAAGAAGTTGTGTCCTTCTTTTCTTCTGCCACATGGTTGTCATCAGGAGAACAAGATCAGGAACATTTCAGTACTGAGAGAACTGGGCATGCCTCAGAAGTTGTTGTTCTCACTGCTAACATCCAAAGTCCTGCTTGTATGTGGGAAAGACAAGTTTGAAGAGTCACTCAAGAAGGTCATTGAGATGGGAGTGAGGTGGAGGGGGAGGAGGAGGAGGAGAAGAAGGTGCTTTTGGAGTTGTTGTATCCGGGGCAGAGGGCGTTGTTGATGCCTNNNGCAAGGTATGAACTGATTGGTTTTGGTTTAGGAACAAACGAAATGTTGTTGTAATGTGGTAGTTTTTGCTAGGATGAACCAATCATAAAAGATGTATAGTTGAAGGATCCAAGAATTTCATTTTCTGTTTAGGAGCATGACTCTAGGACACTCTTTGATATTTGTTTCTATTGTTGGTTAAAGTTTTATTCATACATGTGAATATTGCTTTCCTTCATATGAGCTTCCGGTTAGTTTTGCCTTTTAACTTTAACTCAGGTTGAGACTTTGTATTTCATTTCAAATAGGTTCAAAGGTTGAGACTTTGTAACTATTTTGATAAGGGAAGTGTGTTGTTAACTCTTCTCTCAACATTTTAGGTCTGTGTGTGTTGTGTTGTGTTTTTCTCCTGTCCTCATATGATTCAGATATGTTTTTTCTTTGCAGACACTATCTACTGGAACAGTTATATTCATCTCTGCAGTAGCTGCGCTTCTGCTTAACCCTCTCCTTGCACCACCTGCTTTCGCCAGCTTTCAAACTGCAGCTAAAACCGGTTAATAAGTGCCTGGACTGGTTAGTCCATCCATAATCACGATCCAGTGTTGTGAGCCCTCCTCTCAGGTAACTCCATTCATGTGTTTTGAGTAAAAGGACAGAGAAGCACTGAGACACAGTGGCTCAAAATGAGAAGAGATTATAAACATATGGTGAAGTAGAATTTGCATACCTTTCCACGGTACCAAGGGAGCTTGTCTTCATGGCCATGGTGATGCAAGTAAGTCACGAAATCCAACCACATTACAAATATCTGCAATTAGTTGTGAAAAAAATGCAATAAGCACCTGACGACTAGAGAAAAAAGAGGAANTTTGCATACCTTTCCACGGTACCAAGGGAGCTTGTCTTCATGGCCATGGTGATGCAAGTAAGTCACGAAATCCAACCACATTACAAATATCTGCAATTAGTTGTGAAAAAAATGCAATAAGCACCTGACGACTAGAGAAAAAAGAGGAATACAATTACAGTTACAGCATCAGGTACCCAGTAAGGAATGCCATATAGTTAAAGCATTTGGATTGGACCCACGACAAAATTGAGACAGACAGGCATAGCAGCCATTGCAGTCCAACATGCAGTTGAATGTCAGAACATTTTTCTTCTCTTTGAGAAGAAACAAGTCACTGTCTGGATCAAAATGAGACCCATCTACTGTAAATCGCATTACTTACATGCATTTAAATATTTATTCTTGTATATTTGGATATTGTTTACAGTGTTTTTTTTTGTTTCAGTTTATAAAACTAACAAGAACTTAGTTTTAAAAGTCTAAACTCTCTTTGAGTTAGATTCAAGTGATTTACAAAGCTTTATAAATTAGTGTATAAATATTTGTAATTAACTTATAACTCCAGTAGATATTTTATAAACTAATTTATAATCTCTTATCAATTAATTTATAAGATTTTATAAATCAGTTCATGAATCCTTACTAACCTTTATAAATGATATATAAGCTTATATATATAATATTAACTCTTGCAAATGTTTTATAAACCCTTATAAACTATTTATAAATGGTTTATAGGTTAAATAACTTGCTTTATAAGTCTTCATAAATTGATTTATAAATCTTTATAAATTCATTATTAAATCCTTATTATTTGATTTATAAACTTTCATAGATTAACTCTTGCAAATGACTTCATAAACCTTATAAACATTTAACAAACCCTTATAAAACCTTTATTAAACTTAATGTACACTTACAAAGACTTTTAAATAATTTTTATAATTTATAAATCCTTATAGAAAACTAATAATAATTTATAAATGATTTTATAAATATTTATAAATGATATATAAACCATTATATTTGACTTATAAACCATTATAAATAATTCATAAACTAATTACAAATGATTTTATAACTATTTATAACTCTTTAAGATTATTTTATAAACACTTTAGATCATTTAATGTTTATTAATGTTATAAATTCACTTCTATTTCTTATTAAATCATCTATAAATGATTTTACACTCTTATAAACATTTTAATGGTTTATAAGCCTTTATATATAATTTTGTATATTCTTATACGTAATTTATAAACCCTTATAAATGATTTATAAGCCTTTATAAAAGTTTTAAGACTTTATAATTGAATTACCTTTAGAATTTCTACAAATCCTTATATATGGTTGAATCAACATCAATTATAGCTCTTCCTACAACTTCTTAATTTTGTACACAATGATTTCTTGCAAAGCCTTTATACTTGAACATCCAACTTTTCTAATTCTTCCTACATTTTTTCTTTTGTTGTATCAAAACTTGTTGCCTCCAATGTGTTATCACTCTTGTCTCTTCTATCAGCTTTTTAGCATGTTTCCAAAGAATATCAAACTCAATTGCGGTCAAATAGTTTTTATAAACCCTTATAAATAGAAAGCTAATTTCCAAAGTTAGATAGAAAAAAAAAGATAAGATATTTATTGTAACAGTCAACAGAAATACATCATCTCTCCCGTTAGAATTATTTGAAATGCTAATTCAATAGTAGAAAATTTCAAATTTTGTTTAGTTTTATTATCATAAAAAGAAAAAACTTATTGTAGATCACAAGCTAAATGATTTATAAACCGTTATAAATGATTTATAAATCCTTATAAATAATTTATAAACCCTTATAAATAATTAATAAACCTTTATAAAATGTTATAAGACTTTATAATTGAATTACCTTTGGAATTTCTACAAATACTCATAAATAATTTTATAAACCCTAAATAATTTTATAAATTCTTATAAATGATTTACAGATTATTACAAAAAGGTTTTCTATATATTCTTATAAATTATTTATAAAATCCTTAAAATAGTTTAGAAAATTTATAAAGGACTTTTATAAATCTGTTACATATTTGTTAAATGTAACATCCTTCGATTTAGAGTCACTAGTGCTGAAAAGATCACCATCCCCTCGAGTTCCATTATAACTTTCTGAGATTACAAAACAAATACACAGAAAGAGCATCTATGAGTCTATGAAATGGAAACAAATATGAAAAAGATGCAACAAAATTTGAGGAAAGAACCATTTTCTTAACTTTAGTAAAATGGAGTTAAAGATCGCCAACGTGGTACATAAATCATTTATGAAGATTTAGAAATCATTTATAAACCTTTATCAATAGTTTATTTATATTCCTATAAATGATTTATAAACTCTTATAAAATCACTTATAACAATATACCAAATATTTATAAGGTTTTATAATCTCTAAATGATTTATAAACCCTTATAAAATCACTTATAACAATATACCAAATATTTATAAAGTTTTATAAAATCATTTATAAAAATTTGTAAAAATTTATAAAGGTAATTGCTTTATAAAGTCTCAAAAATCATTTATATGAATATATAGAAAGTTTTTATAAGGGTCTATAAATCATTTATAAGAATATTAAAAGAGTAGACAATTTTGTGCTCGTTGACCAAAAAAAAAAAAATTATGTGCTCTCGTAGTGGCAGATTTAGTAATTACAGAGACCAATCAGTGGGAAAGAACTCAACAACTCTCTAGAATATGTGTTTTCTTACTTGTTCTGGTGCGCCTTTGCTGACACATTGCCAGTTTCCGCTCGAATCAATGTAAGTGATAGCAGTACGCTTGTCCACAGGGTTAAAAGGGAAAAAATGGACTTCAGTGATGGCTTGTCTTGCTTCACTGGGATCTCCAAGCATTCCTACTGTGCAAGCATCGATAGCATCCTGGTTCTCAACTCTAGAGGCTCTTGCTGCATTCACCATAAGCTGCTCTTTGTCCAAGTCTTTAACAAAAACCTCAACCATGCTCTTGTCAACGGTAAGCTTGTTGAGTGTCAGAGTTCCAGTCTTGTCACTGCACAAAACATCCATCCCAGCCATTTCTTCAATTGCTGTCATTCTCTTTGTGATAGCTCCTTGCTGTGAGAGACGGTGAGATCCAATGGCCATGGTGATAGACAAAACAGTTGGCATTGCAAAAGGGATTCCTCCGATGAGAAGCACAAGAAGATTCTCGATACCATCTTTATAAGCACGGTGCTGGATAGGATACATGACAACGATCTCAATGATCATACCTATGGCGATGGAGCAGATGCAGAAGTTACCAATAGCAGTCAACACTTTCTGGAAATGGCCATCTTGGTTTGTGCTGTCTACAAGATGAGCAGCTTTGCCGAAGAAAGTAAGAACACCAGTAGCGATCACAACAGCTTCTAGCTCTCCNACAACGATCTCAATGATCATACCTATGGCGATGGAGCAGATGCAGAAGTTACCAATAGCAGTCAACACTTTCTGGAAATGGCCATCTTGGTTTGTGCTGTCTACAAGATGAGCAGCTTTGCCGAAGAAAGTAAGAACACCAGTAGCGATCACAACAGCTTCTAGCTCTCCTTGTTTGCAGGTGGAGCCAGAGTAAACTTATTGGCCAGGGTTCTTGGTTACTGGTAAAGACTCACCAGTGAGAGCAGATTGATCAATCTTGAGAGGATCACCTTCCAAGAGACGACCATCTGCTGGAACTATGTCACCCAATTTGATGCTGATAATGTTTACATTTTGAAAAATCGAACTCATAATAACAAAGAGGTTCTTATAAGCAAAATTCAAATCTTTAAACTGAATCAGAGAGAGATCTGATGAAACAAACACACACAAAACCAAAGAAAGAGGCTTCTTCGAATCAGCAGAAGCAGAAATCAAGAGAGACTTGGCTGGTGAAACCAAAGCACAAGAATGGGCACTTAAGTGTTAAGACAAACACCTGAGAATAAATAACACTCTTCAAACAGACTAATTAATCAATATGATTAAGCAAACACATGTTCATAAACAGAGCAAATTAATACATAGTTTCTGCTACAAAATCTCTAATTCCCCTCAAGTTTATACATTTCTTAAGGAAACAAGTAGGAATCTGCAGAAAGTTAAAACCTTTATTCGAATTGAGCTGTCTTTGAGGTTCTTGGCTCCTTTCTTCTTCTTCTTCCCTCTGCTCTGTATTCTCTCTCCTTCTCCCTTCAAGAACTCCAAACTCGGCCTTCAAGTTTCTCATATGTTTCTCCACGTCATCAGCACACTCGTCCTTCACGATCTCACACACCCTATCACGGTAGCTTCGGTGGCGACTTGTCTTTAAGGGATCAGAGGAGAAGCTTCGTGTCAATGCAGGGGTCGTGATTGTGGATCTTAAGCAAGAAAGTTCTTGGCTTTGTTGCAGAGATCAAGTCTTGACCTTGGTTGCAATCTATCAGGATCCAAAGACAATCGTGATTTCATCACCCCACTCCTTCTCTCTCGTGTTGTTCTTGCTCGCATCCAAGTGGAACTCTGGATTATCTCAACGCTCGATCTCGTCGTCACGTTGCCGTTGCCGTCATCGTGTTGCCGTAATCCGTCAAACTCTCTCGATAAAGAGATAGAAAATTATAATCAATTTATGAGAGGGTTATTTTGTCTTTTACCTATTAATGATTTAGGTATTTCTGAAAATGTCTTCCTTCTAAGTGTATATATGAATAATGGTAGCACACTTGTGGTAAAACTGAAATTCTCCCTACTATTTATCACTAATTTGTTAATTGATTTCTGAACCGAAAGGTAAATGCCGTCCTCATTACGAAAATCTTGAGACCACTGTTTTTTTCCTTGTTGTTGTTCTTCGTTATTATCGATCTCCAGACATCTATCCATAAAAAGTTTCAGTAATTAAGGTGTATGGTCTCCAAAATATTATATATATATGCTTCCTGTGCTTTAAGTAAAATATGAAGTATGGGTATCCATTAGAGGTGAACACGAAGCCAATATTCAAAGTTTTAGACGTATTCATGATCATTTGCTTCATTAGAATAATCAGTTATTTGATATGATTCGTTCTATAACAGATTTTGGCATTCAAGTATCTAAATTTTTAATCTATTTTACTGGATATTCGATTTGATCTGTATAAATAAAATAAATATTAGAATAATTAAAATCTAAATAAAGTAATAATATTTTATTTAAAAATAATTAAACATATTCTTTAATTTTAATAACTAAAATAATAAATTATTAAGAAGAATATTCTATAACTTACATAAAATATGATAATTATATAGTTTATATATATATAATATTTAAATATATGTATATATATATAACCGACCTGACTGTTTATCCATTTTTTAAAATATTAGTATTTGTGATTTGTTTCGTTTTTAGGAATATTCAATAATAGTATTTGTTTTACTTCAAAGATTTGCGTATATCCAAAATTTTCAGTTCAAATTTAAATGGATAACAACTTGAATTAAATATTACGAATATTTTATCCAACCCTAGTTTGTATTACTAACAAAATTGTTTTTCTTTAACATCATATTTTGTAATGATATTAAGTAGAAAATACATATTCTCCTCGAACATTATTACAAATAAAATCATACTCTAGCATAGTTAGGCATTAGAAAGTTAACTACAAAAAAAGTTATGTACAAACTTAAGACTAATATGAATTTCCTTTAAATAAAAGATATGTTCCAAAATTGAAAAGCCGAATTGAAAGAAAAAGAAAATTATAATTAGCTAGTTTAAAAGAAATTTACAAGTGGAGCAATTATTTGTATAATTAAAAATATGTATGACAAAAATGAAATTATTAATAAAATTGTGAATTTTATTTATCTCACTCGTTCATGTACCAATGTAAAACAAAATAACTAAATTTACAATATATTCTTTATTAGAAAATAAGAATTATTTTAATTATTTTATTTAATTAATAACTAAATTCTATGGAACAATAAATTTTGTAATTCTACAAAAGAGCATTTTATTTTGCAGCCTAAGACCGTCTCCAATGTATTCATCTATTTTTCCTCTATAATGAAGAAATTTATAATATAGGTATTCTCTCCAATGTATTCCTCTATTTTTTCTTAATTAAAAAGAATACTTTTAAAGTTTTTTTTGTTATTTTGCATTTCACACCTTTAACTTATATAAATTGAAAACTAACCCATTCGCTATAACTTTTGAAGTTTTTCATAAGAGTGCATTATTATTTAAATTAAACATTATATTACAAAAAACATTAGACATAAATAATAAAAAGTAGACATCATCTAACCATAATTATTACTATACATTTTCCATAAATGATCAATCAGTGCATTATGAATTGAGAAATGAGTTTCTTTATATTTGATTTTTCTAAATTGACTTAAGAACTCTTGGAACCGTTTATCTTCATCATCTGGATTTGGACTTCTGGAGGTGGGACTTTTCTTCCAATACCAATCGGTGCTTTGAGATCACGCTCATCTTCAATAATCATAATTATGTAATATTGTACATGTAATAATTTTTCCAAACATGTACCGGTCCTTTCACAATAGCAACATTTGATTGTAATATTCTTAATGCACATCTTACGTCTTTCCTACATGATTCTTGTTGTGCTGCAAAATATTTTCTCTTTGGACTTATTGACTTATTAATAGTTTGCAATATGATTGACCATTTTGGATATATACCATTGGCTAAGTAATAATTCATATTATATTCATTGTTTTGAATGACATAATTAACATGAAAAGTAATACCTTGAGCGAGATTAGAAAAAATGTGAGAAGACTCCAACACATGAATACCATTATTAGTCTCTGGAAATTCAAAATAAGTATGTCATATTCAAAGATCATAATTAGTCACAATTTCAAGAATTATAGTAGGTGATTCACTACGACCTGCATATTGTCCAGTCCAAGCAATAAGATATTTTTCTATTTCCAATAAATGCAATCTAAGCTACTAAGCATTCTCGAAAAGCCTCGTTTCTTATCAATGTAAAGAAGTCTAGAAACGTCATAAGTGTTGGTGATCGTAGGAATTGCTCTGAGAATATCTCACAATAGCTCGACAAAAACTTTTCATGTTTTCCAATATAAAGTTTAACTATTATTTTTTATTTAGAAAATTAGACTTTCAAATAAAATAATAAGAATTAATTATTTTATTTATAAACTGTAAGACTTAGAAATTATTTTGGAAAAAGTTGTGTTTTATACGTAAAATATTGTATTGCTTCATAAATATGTATTTTAGTTATAATCATAAGAAGTTAAGGAACTATTGTGCAAAAAAAATATATCTATTACAGAAAAATTCTATTTTTTCCTTTAAATATAAAAGAAAATATAGTAATTTCTATTTTAGGAGAATAAATAGAGATGAGTTGGAATAGATTTTATTGTATTATAGTATATAGAGGTAAATATAGAGATGTTTGGAGATGCTTAAAGGAAAAAGACTGAAATTTGTCGCCAGGACAAGGGCTGACTCGTTCAATTGACGTACGTGGCTCCTAACAAGCTTTACTTAGGAATAAACACACCAAAACGGAAGTAATCATTATTCAATAATCAAACTCACACCCAAGACCATTCTTCGCTCTTTCCCAATATCCGTACGAAAAGGTCTAAAAACAAACAAAAAACCTTAAAACGCGTAAATCTTTTCTCATTTCACTCGGAGATACCAATCTCTACTTCAACAACTTATTTAATGTCAACGAGACCACGACCTCAAAATTCTAAGAAGCAAATCAGTTTGTCAAAAAAAAAAAAACATAAAAAGTGATTTGCAATTGTAGCAAACCTATTTTATCACATACAACAATGGCTGAGGTGCTTACTATTGGATTTCGCTTCTATCCCACGGAAGAAGAACTGATTGCGTTCTACCTACGAAACCAGCTCGACGGAAGGAGTGTTGACACAGTGCACCGTGTCATTCCCGTTCTAGATGTCTTTGAGCTCGAGCCTAGTCATCTTCCAAGTAAGTGAGACTCATTTTAACTTCCACTATGGCGTCAAAATCATCATGTTGCTTCTTAAGTGGGGAATAAATACGTTAGGTTTTATTGCACGTAGACTTGTTTCACTGCTATAGTATATGTGGTAGTGTTAGCCATGAGTGGTCTGTGAAACTTGCATGTCCTCTCTCTTAGTGGGTTTATTTTTTAATTTTCCTTTTGCAGATATTGCGGGAGAGAGGTGTCGAGGAGATGCTGAGCAATGGTTCTTCTTTGTGCCTAGACAAGAACGCGAAGCAAGAGGAGGCAGGCCGAGCAGAACCACTGGTTCAGGGTACTGGAAAGCTACTGGATCACCTGGTCCAGTCTTTTCCAAAGATAACCAAATGATTGGAGTTAAGAAAACTATGGTGTTCTACACTGGGAAAGCACCAACTGGAAGAAAAACAAAATGGAAGATGAATGAATACAAAGCCGTTGACGAACCATTCAACGTTTCCACAAGCCCTAAGGTTACATATATGAAGTTTTTTTCTTGCTTTTTTTTTAAATAAAATATTCTTGATCATATAAGTTTTTAATTAATGATATGAGAGCTTTCGTTTGTTTATGTTTGTCTTGAAAATATAGTTGAGACATGAATTTAGCTTATGTCGGGTCTACATAACAACGGGAAGCTCAAGAGCTTTTGATAGACGTCCAGTGGAATTTTTTCAGACAGTGCAAATGCTTACAAGTGATGTTGCCGTTGGTGAGACATCGGTTCGTGTGGAAAGCTCACCCGAAGCTTTAATGTCAGGAGGAAATCATGATTATCCCTCTACGAATGGAGAGATGGTTGATGGTTTAACGGAACCAATCTGGGAATGGGAACAGCTGAATTGGCCTTGAAGCTAACTATAATCAAGCATACTAAAGTTACGTACTACATTACTACTTAGTTGAATTTATACCAGAAAGATTCTCTTTTTGCTTTCCTTGAAGAATTTGAGCAAGAATAAATGACAAAAGACAACTTCATGGGTTTCGTTTTCTTAAGAGAATGTAATAAGTCTTTTTTTTTTCTCTTTTGAGCAAAGAGAATGTAATAAGTCATCGAGCAGTTATGAAACTTTAAAAGTCAAAACCTTGATATTAGCTTTAACTGTGCATGGATGAGATTATCATTTTCATTATTGTTCGTAGAATTAAATATTAGTTCGGTTTAATTTGGATATTAGCTGGTTTTGGGTTGTTTTCATCTATTCGGTTTAAACTGTTGACGTTTTTGATTTTTTTGGTGGTAAGAAAAAAAAATTTTCATTTTTATTTGGTTTTATGTTATATGACTTTACAACCATGATGGTAACCAAGCATTTCATGTTATAAATTCTAAATGGATGAAAAAACAATCAAATCTAAATAATTATTGAAGAAAAAATATTATAAACCATCTTCGTTAACTATACCATAACGAAGACAGTTTAAATTTGTATTTATACACTTGATTGATATCGGTTTTATATTCTTAACCGATTGGAATTTAATTTTGGTTAAGACATTTCGTCTATAACAATTGTTCCTTCTCATTCTCTTTAATGTAAAACTTACATGCATGTATACTTCGAACAACATCTACGACCCTCATACATTTCCTTCTATACTTTGCTTCACATCAAACTTCGATGCACAAATATGCTTCTCTGCCTTCGATAACATCAATAGATTAAAAAAGCTTTCGATCTGTGCATCCATCAATATGAGAATCTATAAACTTCTTCCCTACTCATCAAACAGTTATGAACATGCATGCCTTTATGTTATTCGTAAATCTCTCAAATATGTATAACATCAACAAAACCAGTCGTTTCAAATTTATGTGATTGTAACACGATTGGTTGATATATTGCTAACAACCTATGGTAATATTAGCTCTTCGTATATTGGGTATCAACCTCCCTACTCATCAAACTGTTGCTTAAGATTTCAGCTTTTTCTTATATGGTATAAGAGTTTTAGCCATATAATGTATACATTTATCCCTAAACTCTCGCTACCATGTGCATGTCAAAATTTGCATTTGTGCTCCTCAAAACTTGGCATCCATCAATGTGAATATCAATCGAAATGAACAACAACAAACACATTTAGTTAGGTTCAATATACTTTTATATTGCTTAATAATGATTCAAGATGATTTAACCAACCAATCGTGTGTGGGGAAGAATCAAGACCAATGATTAACATAGATCAACGCAGAACCAATTCTCCATTAACTATGCAAATTCCACCGATAGCTTATGAGAGAAAAATAAAAAATGTTCTCATGTTTAGTTTAGGTAAGAAGTGAAATGTCTTGGTTTGAAAATTCTAAATTTTTTTGTGAGAAGTTCTATTAAACTGACACGTTAGTTTTTCTCGTTTCAAAACAACGTAAAAATACTACATGGAAAATGTAGTGTGAACGCATTAATTACAATGTTTTTCCTTTAATATGTAGGAGATTGAGACCAAAAAAAATCAACAAGGAGGAAAAATATGTGACAACAACAAACCAAAGATTAAAATCCCCCAAAGTATTAAGTATAACTAGTAAGTTTTGACAGGCAGAAAGTATAACAGCGATTTACTTGAGCATGTTTCAATACCAACATAAACTTTAAACAAACGAAAAGAGCTAAAAGGACAAAATTGTTTTGTATAGAAACGTTATGACTATACAGGTTTTTTTTTTGGTAAAAGTGACTAAAAGGATTGTTGGTCGTCGATACAGGTTGAAAGTGGACGACGACTAAAAGGATTTTTGGTCGTCGATAGTTTGTCGTTAAAGAAAAACACAAGTTTTGGTTCTCTAGTTCTCATACATATATACTAAATTCACGTTGACATTACCCATGGACCCTGCATAAAATTCTAAACACATGCTTCGACTTGTATTATTCAAGAATTTATAAACTGAGGCTGAGGTTGAAACAAGTAATCGACAATATGTACCTGTTGTTATATTCCTTCAAACCTGTGGAATATAAAACCCCTAGAAACTATTCCATTGTGTAATGAAAGTTGTGATTGAGAGTACGTATAGGTTAACAAGTCAAATAATAACGGTATTTATCCGTCAAGTTTACCTCTACACCATGCATGTGGTACGTATATAAGAGATGAGTAAATTGTTATTTTGAAAAAGTTAGTACCATCAACGTTAAGTTCGTCTCTAGCAAGTGGTCAATCCAATCCTCCTTAACCATGGTCACCAACATTAATGCAATAACGATGTACATATTCTGACAAGGCGACAACAAGCAATCCCCAAGAAAAGAGCCAACACGAAAATCACTATTTTGTAATATATGTAACTTGCCACACTATAAAGGTTGAAAAGTGGAGCAAGACTAAAAGTTTTTTTTTGTGGTCGTCCGCGGATTGCTTGTCCTTATCCAACAAACTATACATAAGTTTTTCTTACGCAAAAAAAAAAAACTAATCTACAAGTCTCGTTTCTTCTATATGCTTGATTTTCAGAGGTTATACAATTCAACATACTAAAATCGTTATCATATGATTAGGACATCATCAACGGAAACCAGTAAGACCTTCAAATTGTTGATAAACTAACTCTTCCGCATGTGTCCAACCACACTAGTCAACCACCTCAACTTTCTATAACTTGAGACTAAAAGTCTAGTCAACCATCTCAATTTCACATAATAATTAATCTTCAGGATCTGTGATTAGATCTTACGATCCTAATATTTTAGTAGATAGTAAGATAGTGATTAGATTAGATCTTACAATCCAATTAAAACTTGAGTATGGTTCAATTGCTGTAGCCTTCTAGGGTTTAAAATGTTAGAAAATATTATATATGGACTATTTAAAACAAACTAATAAAACAAGGGGCTTTTCCGAAATCTTTGCTCTTTTAGACATAAACTCCTCAAGTTTCAAGACTTCTGTCTTCTCACCGGAGCGCGTGATCCACACTACCCAACATACAAAAGACCCCGTTTTTGATCGAAAACGATCTCCGATGGCGATTGTCTACGCAGTCGTGGCAAGGGCCACGGTGGTATTAGCAGAATTCAGCGCCGTCACGGGAAACACAGGCGCCGTGGTACGACGAATCCTCGAGAAACTTTCACCGGAAACAGCAGACGAAAGACTCTGTTTCTCCCAAGACCGTTACATCTTCCACATCCTCAGATCCGATGGACTTACCTTTCTCTGTATGGCCAACGATACCTTTGGAAGTAAGCATCTCTTTGTTTTTTTTTTGCATTTTGAAATGTCTCTGATTGATTCAGAGTCTTTGGTTCGCTTTGTGTGATGATGATTGAATTGTGTAGGGAGGATTCCGTTTTCGTATTTGGAAGATATTCAAATGAGGTTCATGAAAAACTATGGTAAGGTGGCGCGTTATGCTCCAGCGTACGCGATGAATGATGAGTTCTCTAGGGTTTTGCATCAGCAGATGGAGTTTTTCTCTAGTAATCAAAGTGTTGATACTCTGAATCGTGTGAGAGGAGAAGTCAGTGAGGTAAAAACTTTATGTGATTATATTTATTGTTGGAGAAGGTTGTTTGTCCCATTGTTTTATTTTTTGTGGTGTTGTTTATTAGATTCGAGCGGTGATGGTGGAGAATATTGAGAAGATAATGGAGAGAGGTGATAGGATTGAGCTTCTTGTTGATAAAACAGCAACGATGCAAGATAATGCGTTTCATTTTAGGAAACAATCTAAGCGTTTACGTCGAGCTCTTTGGATGAAGAACGCTAAGCTCTTGTAAGAATCTCTGTCTCTTTGGATCTGATGATAATGAGAAAGGCCTATCTAGATTACATGATGTTTCAACTTGGGATATTATGGAGCATAGTTTACTGTTTGGAAAGATTTTGATATGTTTGTGTGTTTTGACAGGGTAATGTTGACGTGTTTGATAGTTCTGGTGCTGTACATAATGATTGCATCTTTCTGTGGAGGCATCACTTTACCCTCCTGCAGATCTTAATCTTTGAGGCTCTCTCTCGAAGGTAATGGTACTTCAAAAACTTTGACAACCGGAAACAGACCACTGGTTTTGTAAATTAACTGAGTCTCGTCCTTTTGATTTTCAGTCTTGATTTTTGTCATGAGAAGGACAGTGAGTTTGAGGTTACATGGCATGGTCTTCCTCGCTTATGTAACACTCTTGTAAATGACAAAAATGATATATATTTTTTTCATAAAACACTGGTCCTTCTCTTTTAGAGTTTGGTCACTTGAGTGAGGTTTTGTTCAGTATTTCCAATAATGTTTCCAGTTTGTCTTTATGAATTTTGCACCTGTAATGTACAACCACATACATAAGCTCTCTTTATGTTGCAAGTTCTGTTTGATACTACAAGTTATTACTTCAATAACTGCTGCCGGATCTAAACAGCAATCAAAACCGTCAGATTAACTTAATGGGAGTTCAATTCAAAATCCTTCCTTTACTAGATGAGTCGAGCTAAACACAATATGAATCATAATAACCAAAGCTTTTAAATGAAAAGTCCTCTGAATCTGAACTGTGGATGGAGTGAGAAACAATAAAAGGCCCGTAAAGCCCACATTTTGACAGTCAAATTCTACATATTGGGCCTAAGAAAACGGCCCATAAGAATACACGCGAAACTTTGCAGAGAGACACCTGTATAATAAATTCGTTTTAGCAGTTGTTTGTCACTTTGTTTACCAATTTCTAACAATTCGCAAGTTGTCAAAGGGCACGCCTTTTCCTTTCCCGTATTCTTCTCCTCACAAGAGATCAAATCCTAAATCTCGGCGTGGTTTCCTTCCTCTAGGGTTTTTGATATCAATCATCAGAAACCGGCATGAGGCCAATCCTGTTGCCGGATCCACCCACTCTATCTACCGGCGTACCCGAGATTTTCGAACAAGGCGGCTCCCAGAACGTCGTCAGACGCGCCGTCGTTATCGGAAACGGCTTCCCCGGCTCCGAGAATCAGTCTATCGGTCTCGCTCGTGCCCTCGGCTTGGCGCAAAATCACCTACTCTACGTGAGTTTTTAAGACATTTCTCCTTTTGGTTTTAGCATTTTCCGACACTAAGTCTCCGTTATTACATCAGTTTAGGATTTGGTAATAAGATTTGATGATTGTTTTCGGACATGGGGTTCTGTAGGGGCACTGGTACTTGGTTAATGTTTCTAGCTTTGCTAAGAAATTAAGAATAAGATTGCAATCTTACTACTTCTGAGATTGAATGTCTTTTTTTTTTTTTTTTGTGAAATGATGCAAGCGAGTTACAAGGCCAAAAGGAGGGATACATGAGTGGCTACACTGGCTTCCTGTTGGTTTTCACAAGAAGTTGGAATTTATCCTCAGGCATATTTACCTCTACTCTAGATTGATGCTTGGATCCAAACAAAGTAAATACATCGCTTCAGAGAATGGTGGGAGTGTAGGCTTGTCGTCTATTCTTGAGGCTGACGTCAAGAGTATTGTGTCCATGGCTCGTGACACCTATGAAAAGTATGTCACTTTGGATTCTTTTTTTTTTTTTTTTGAGCTTTGAGATTATTGCGTTTTTATGGATTGCAAATAGGAAGATAAGATTGAACGTATGTCCTTCCTCCATCTAGCTAAGGGATTTTTATTTTCTTTTTGGCAGGGATGGCCCGTTGGTAGTGATTGCATGTGGGAGAGATACAGTTTCTATTGCTAGCTCCATAAGGCGTCTTGCTTCTGAAAACGTCTTCGTTGTTCAGGTTTATTATTATGATTTAACCTGTTTGTTATGTTACCAGGCTTAGCTTTGAGATATAAATCTAATTTAGTATCTAGAGCGAAGAATTTTGTTTCTGAATCCTGTGATTATCTAAAAGAAGATAGTTTTGTTCCATGATTCTCTGAATCCCTAGTTAGCTAAATCATCTTTGGTTTTCGTAGATACAACATCCTAGATCACACTTAAATAGGTTTGACATGGTGATCACACCTCGTCACGACTACTACCCTCTAACCCTCGAAGCGCAAGAGCAAGTTCCTAGATTTATGCGTAGGTGGATAACTCCACGTGAACCACCTCAGGATCATGTTGTAAGTGCCATGTTTTTTGCTCCATTCTCTTTACATGAAACTTTTATCCGGAGATTTCATTTCTAATAGTAATACCATGAACGTGCACACCTATTTCCAGGTCTTGACTACTGGAGCTCTACACGGGATCGATTATGCCACACTCCGTAAATCAGCTAGTGCCTGGCATGATGAGTTTGCTTCTCTTCCAAAGCCCTTAGTTGTGGTTAACATTGGCTGGCCTAGACGTAAGTTCGGTTACTCTGTTAAGTTACTAGATGGCGTTCTTACACTTGCAGCATATAACACATGAGCGCTTTATTCTTTTGAAAACTGATGCTTAGACCTTTTGGGCATGGTTTTTCTTGGCTTTCTGAACAGGTAACTGTCGTTATGGAGCAGACCTCGCAAAGCAGCTAATAAACGCCCTTCTCAGTGTCCTTGATAGCTGTGGAAGTGTCAGAATCACTCTCTCCTACAAAACCCCTGAAAAGGTCTCTTAACTCATGTTTCTATTTAAATAGAATAGTTATAGCTGATGTTCTTGAGTTTCACCTAGCTTCTTACTACGCAAGCAGGTTTCAAGAGTAATTTTCAAAGAGCTAGGAGATAACCCAAAAGTCTTTATTTGGAATGGCCAAGGTACTCATTATACACAGGCAAAGTTTGCTTCAGCTTTGTGCCCACACAGACAAAAGTTTCTAACCGTTGTTTTTAATCTGTTGTAAAAATGGTAATCCAGAACCAAATCCTTACATGGGACATTTAGCTTGGGGTGATGCCTTTGTTGTGACAGCAGATTCTGTCAGTCTCATAAGCGAAGCCTGCAGCACCGGGTATAATAACATACTGAGATAACCCTTTCAATTTTCTTATTCTTTCGTACAACTTAAAACTATAGAATCTAAGTAATCCTTCTGTGCTGCAGGAAACCAGTGTATGTTATTGGAGCCGATCACTGTAAATGGAAGATTGCAGATTTCCACAAGTCTTTGAGAGAACGAGGAGTCGTTCGCCCATTTACAGGGTTAGAAGACGTAAGTAATCCTTACATTTTCTTAGAATACTCTAGCTAGTTTTCCTCTTTTTCATTCTTCATGGCAATGGGAACTAGGGAGTTTTCTGGTGAGGGTTTTGTTACATCCTCCATGTCTTCATGATCTTCATTGATCTGGTTTGGTATGAACGGTTTTTTTTTAATAGATGTCGGAAAGTTGGAGTTATCCGCCATTGAATGACACAGCAGAAGCAGCAATGAGAGTAAGGAGTGCATTAGCTGCACGTGGATGGAGTCTACGCTCTTGATAACTATCATACGTTCTTTTGTTTGTACAATTTGTTTTTCTTTGGAATCACATTTCTCGGAAGCTAGAGAAAGAGAAGCCTAAAACAATTGGATGTGCAGAAAGAAAGAAAGAAAAGGTGACGATACCATTTTGAAGGGTTTATTTACGTTTCTTGTGCCCTAAATTTTTGCTCATATTACACACAGTGAATCACACTATACCTCTTCTCAATTGGAGTGGCCCTTGTGAAATAAAAAGAGTGGGAAGTTCTTTTTCCCCTTTGTATTGACTTGTCGGTGAAATTCGTTTTCTTTGACACATTGGCTATACTTTGTGATACAAAAATTGAGGTAGTTACAAGAAGAAAGGAGAACATTTTTAGTTACAGTTCTCCATACAGCTCAGAACACACTCTACATCCTCAGACTCAGCTATAAATCTTAGGCACATGAGTGCAGTTTATGTTTCCCTCTGAAATCATAAACCAAACAATTTAAAAGGTCAAAAGATTGTCTTATTCGGAAGGTTACAGATGAACTGAAGATTTTTGTTGGTTATCTGTACACTTGAACCAGAGCTGCCGCTTTGTATACAAACCAAGGCCACAACCACAACACTGAAGAAAAAACACAGAAAGCAGAAACCAAAACTAAAATTTGTAAAAACACAGATTAACAATGTGTTACAGAAAAAAAAAAAAAATCCTCCACCTGTTATTCAGTTTAAAAGGTTTAGGGTGAAAAAAAAAAAGGTTTAGGGTGATTTTGTAAATAAAAAAGGAATATAAGGGCCATTACTGCAACAAAGATTAACTTATAAATAGAGTAGAAAAAGAGAGAGAGAGAGAGATGTTTTTCTTTTTCAATTCAGAGAATCAAATGCTAGAATAGACCAAAGGGGAAGAAAAAAATCTCAAATAGACCCATGCTTTTTTTATTTTGTTTTACATTTAATTTTAAATAGAAATCTAGCTAAAATAACTAAAAAACCTAAAGACTTCAATATATTTACGAATCTATACCCTTACTATCCTACCCAGAATCCGACCCAGATTCAGATCCGAAATCCGACCCAACTAATCCTAAATCTTCTTCTTCCTCCTCCTTTCTTCTCTTCCAATATTTTTTTCACTTTCAAATAAAATCAAAATATTTCTTCAACCATCCACCAATTTTTTTATCTTTATCCCAAATTGAACTACCCATATTCATATTTAATCAATTATATCTTACCCAGAATCAAATTTCATCATTTACGTACTAGAATCAAAAAAAAAACGCAGAGTATTACTAGTACAACTGGTACAACTCTACTTAGTACAACTAGTACAACTACAACGAGTATAACTAGTACAAATAGATTGAGTATAACTAGTACTAATATAACTTTGCAATTAATATAGTGATCTTTATTTTGTTTTCAATGTATGAAGATAATAGAAAAGAGTATGATGTATAACTAAAAAATATGTTAGTCTAATCTTCCCTCTCATGCATGTGTCAAATACATGAAGTGTATGTTTTTAATAATATTTGTTTTGGATTAATGATTTGTTACAAGTTGTACTAGTTATACTAGTTCTACTATTTTCGAAAAAAGTCAGTTTCATTTTCTTTCTCTCAAGGTCAAACAAATTGATACGGAACTAGAAAAGTCTAACCATAGTTTTAGAAAAACAAGTCAACGGAAAGAAGAACAAGAAGAGAGCATCAGTAACAACTAAGCTCTCCCTTCCTCCAAAATTAATAGCTTTTGGAGATACTTTTGAAAACTTAAGTTCTTTATATAATTTATGTTCATTTTGGTATTTAAACATATGTTTCTTTTGATGTTAGACTTGTTTTTATAGCTTTTGAAACTATCAATTGGTATATTTGATTGTTTTCTCATATGGAATACCGAATTGGTTTTGTCGATTTTTAAAATGTCAAAGTTATATTAGTTTTACCAGTAATACTCTTCTAATATATAATAAAAAATTATATCAATTCTTTATATGTCTAGTTTTAGGGGTTACTAATACTCTTACATCATAATTTTTTTAAAATATGTTTACGATAACGAAGAACATAGAATATTACTGGTACAACTAGCATAACTCAAACGAGTATAACTGGTACAATTAGAGCGCGTATAACTAGCATAACTAGTACCACTAGAATAATTATAATTAGTACGATCGATACAACTATAACACATATAATTAATATAACTGATATAATTAGAACGTGTATAATAAATACAACTTTTCAACTTTATTCATACAACTTATAAGCATATCCATTTTCTGCTAAATCTATGTTTGATTAATGATCATTCAAGATTTGTAATGTGATCAATTGTCTTGTTATCTTTGAATGTAATCTTTTTTGGACTAACTCATTATACTATACTTAATATTTGAGACTTGTTGGAGTTTTGTTGGATATTTTTTATATTATTTGATCTAAATAGTTATTTGTTTGACTAGTTATACTACTAGTACTAATTGTACTATTTTATAAATCATCTTTAATCTCGAAGTCGAAGAAGACACTAATTGTACTAATTGTATTGTATCATATAATTATACAGTTACCTTAATGATACTACTTATTTATGTTTACATGATTTACCTGGTTACTATGTTTTGTTGTAGATGATATAGGACATGAGTGATGCCATATCGGTTGAGGAATCAACTAAGGAGGATTGTAAGTGCAAGAAAAAGCTTGAGAAGGATGCAGTTGAAAATGAGGGGGCAGTTGGAAATGAGGAGGAGACAGCTAGTAAAACTATTCATCTTAATATTCAACTATAATGATTAAAACATGATACACGTTAAAATATGATGCACAGTACCAAAAGAAATAACATAGTTTCACTAGTATTATAGTTTTACTAGTTTGTACGTAGTTGTACTAGTTTTTGAGTTATACCGATTTGTACATAGTTGTATTTCGGCAATGAAATAAAAAAACTAGTTGTACCACATAAAATTTAAACTTATTTCAGTTGTACCACTTCTTTATGTGTACATGCATATGCCCTAATACAATGAAATCACCAGTTTTATTAAAATACATTTCATGTATGTTTTCCAAAAGTTATGTGGACAAAGAAGTTGACAAACCTTAAAAGTATAAGGTAGATTATGCAAACTTATATGATTGTGTTATAATTAGAAAAAAAGATAAAAAATATAGCTAATCTAATTAACAAGCCTGTAAATATAAGGTATGTAATGTAAAACTAATGTAACAATATAATAGTTGTAAGAGTTTTTGAGTTGTATCGGTTTGTACATAGTTGTACTAGTTTTTGAGTTGTACCAGTTTGTAAATAGTTGTACCAGTTTTTGAGTTATACCGGTTTGTCCCTAGTTGTACTTTGACAGTGAAATAAAAAAAAACTAGTTGTACCACATGAAATTTAAACTTACCTTAGTTGTACCACTTTTTTATGTGTATATATGTCTTCGCCCAATACAATGAGATAATCAATTTGTTAAAATGTATTTCATATATGTTTTCCCAAAAATATGTGGACAAAGAAGTTAACAAACCTCAAAAGTATAAGGTATAACATATAAACTTATGGAGTTGTGTAATGACTTTCAATTTTTTTTTCAAAACTTCAAATATATTAGGAGAAAAAAAATCTGACTACATACCACTTTGGATGTCTGATAGTGTTCTCATATGAAATACTAAATTGGTTTGCCAATTTTTAAAATGTCCAAGTTGTACCTGTTGTAACAATAATACTCGTCTAATATATAATAAAAACTATAACAATTATATCAATTGTTTATATGTTTAATTTTAAAAGTTGTACCAATATTTTCATAATAATATAGCTAATTTACTTAACAAACCTTAAATATAATATAATATATATATATATGATGTAAAATTAAGAGTGTAATGTAATAATTTAACAAAGAATTAAAAACTTCAAATAAAATAGATGAAATTTTGTCATCATATACCAATTATGATATATATTTGTTTATTTCATATGTAAAACATGATTATTAGTCGTTTCAGTTATCGTAGTTGCATATTGTACAAGAATTATAATATTTATATATTAGTTATACTAGTTATATCAATTTTTAACATGTTTAATTATACGAGTTATACTAGTTGTACCCAGTTTTCTCTTATCATCCGACGGCTCAGATTACATCTCGCCTTATCTGATCTAATGGTTCACACTGAACTCTCATTAATGGTAAAATGTTCATTTTACTCTCTTTGATCCATGGTAGATTTTTTTTGGATGTTGTAGATTAGTTTTTGGTGTATTGTCTCATAATAGATTTTTGTCCCAATTCAGAGAAGAAGGAGAGCTCGAACTCTTCCGTAGTCGTTAACAGTCGACGGAGAGATGGAGAAAGTAAAGATAGAAGAGATTCAGTCCATCGCGAAGAAACAACGGATTGCTACTCACACTCACATCAAGGGTCTTGGCCTCGAGGTTCTTCTTCTCCACATGAATATATATCTCTTTGAATCTAGTAGATTGTTGCAGATCGCTTGAAGTTCTTCAGGGTTTTAGAGAGTTAAAAGCTCATTTCTTTGTTAGACTCCGAGGATAGTGTTTCTGTATGCTCTTGTTGCTCAGTGTACGTTAGGGTTTAAAGTTTTGAAAGTAATGTCTTTGAAGGAGAGGTGTGTGCGCTGCTGTTTTTTTTCAGTTTCTTTCTTGTGTGGTCTCTTTGCCGTCAGATTCTTAACATGTTTTCCTTGAGTTTCCAGGTCACGGAGCTTCTCCCTGAAGAAACTGAAAGATACGGCAGCATCAGTCATGTTATCATTGGACTCAAGACTGTCAAAGGAACCAAACGACTTAAGTTGGATCCCACTATATCCGATGCCTTGATTAAGGAGAAGGTTGGTTTGTTTGACTTCTTTCTTACGTTGTATTCATCTGTTAGGTTTCCTATGTCCAGAAGTTGTTATATTTTACTGTTTGGCTCTCAGGTAGCTGTGGGAGATGTTATATACATTGAAGCAAACAGTGGTGCTATCAAGCGGGTTGGTAGAAGTGATGCTTTTGCCACTGAATTCGATCTGGAAGCAGAAGAATATGTTCCACTTCCTAAAGGAGAGGTTGAGAAAAAGAAAGAGATAGTGCAGGTTTATCTCCACAACTCTCCCTTCTTTGTTTAATGTATGTGTGTTTTGATCTTTTACGTTGTATATTGGTTTTTTTGTGGTAGCCTCTAAAAGCTTTCGTAAAATTTGGTTAGGCTGTCACGCTTCAAGATCTGGATGCAGCAAATGCTCAATGATGCAAGGTGGACAGGATGTACTATCTTTGATGGGCCCAATGATGAAACCCCGGAAGACTGAGATCACTGATAAGCTGCGGCAAGAAATTAACAAGGTGATCTTCTTCACTCAGAGACCTAAACGGTTCTTGTTTAAATTTTGCTACAGGACTAATAGTATGTAATGTATGATCATTGCAGGTCGTGAACCGTTATATAGATGAAGGTGTTGCAGATTATAGCTATTCGTACGCAAGTAGAAGAGCTAACAGTGGATGAAGAATGCTTGGTCCTACTTGGGGACATTGGTCAAAGAACATCCCTAAGGTTGAAGACTAAACTAGCATTATTACTTCTTTGCAATCTTTTTTTTTCTCTGTCTAAACTTTTCTTTTGTGCTTTCGGTTTCAGGCACGCAGTTCAGCTTCTGTCTCCTGCCAGCATCGTGGCGAAAATGAATGGACGTGACAATGTTTGCCAGGTACTTCCTTATGAATCTTGTAACAAAACAAAGGAGTGTAAGAATGAATGTTGTGGTTGTTAATCTCTCTTGGTATTGTGACTTTTGACAGGCTGATATAGAGGAAGTAACATCACTCTACCTTGACGCCAAATCTTCAGCAAAACTTTTGCACGAGCAGCAAGAAAAATACATCTCATGAGAAACATACTAATCCAATGTTATTGCTTCTCTTTAAGCGATTATTATTATATATAAAAAAAAGAAGATTATTATTATATAATATCTTTGACATGGAAAAATCTAAATTTAATGGGATAGAATTGGTTTCATGATAACATTTTACTTGAACCAGCTACTGATTCGATAGTTTCCTACATTAGTTGTGTTTCGTCATGTTGAAATTCCTAGTTCCATGATAAGACTTTGAACAATTCTTCAAGAACAAACAACTTGTAAAGTCTAATTAATTATAAACTGAAACAGTAGATGAGTCAAGACATACATAACCTAGGAACAAACAACTTGGAATGATAATTATCTATGGAAGGTCTGTTTTAGTTGTCCTTCTCTGTTTTTTCTTTTGCTGAAAGAGAATGGAACTCAATGTTTATTACAAAAATAACAAAATAAACACAAGGAACTGCGTTGTTACTAGACCATAAATGGCTGTAGACAAAGATTCCAATATAAAGTGAGAAAGTCAAAACTAATACAAACGGCTTAACTTGAGGAGCCACTTTGGCTTGTAAGAAGCAATCACTTGACCTAATACCAATCCAAACAACACTCCAGGAGCATATCCTATAGCCACAGCTTTCCAGTTCAACACCTCTCCTTCTTCTTCGTCTCCTTGATTCACATTTCGTGACGGCATCACACTAGAGCCGACACAACTTTCCTGGAGAGGAATTCCACAAAGACCTCCAGCATCATTCCCTTCAAATGAGGATTTAGGTTGCCCAGTGATTTGTGTTCCTTGTGGTATTTCACCGCTGAGTTGGTTATGAGACACATTTAGATACGCCAAAAACGTCAGGGCCTTGAGTTCACTAGGAATAGTCCCAGAGAGTTTGTTTCTCGACAGGTCTAGTGACGCAAGCTGCATAAGGTTTCCCAAAGACAGTGGAATGCGACCAGTAAATGCGTTGTTGGATAAGTTGAGTGCAATCAGTGCCTTCAACAGACCAATGGATTCAGGAACCTCTCCTTCAAGTTTGTTCCCTGAGAAATCAATGGTGGCGTATGAGCTAAGAACCTTCGCTTGCTCCATTACTAGACCTTTGTATCTCAAATCTATAACGTCTCCGTAAGCATAGTAACCATTCATGGAGAATGAAGTTTCCTCTTCATATCCCATGTATATACTCCCATCTTCACTCATCTGGAGTGTTGATGCTTTCCAGTTCACAAAGTAGTCTGCTGGTAACCTCCCGGTGAAGTTGTTGTCCGCTATTTCAAATATGTGCAGCTGAGGAAACGCGAGAGGAGCTTGCTCAGGAGGAGCAATAGAACCGTAGAACTTGTTTGAACGGAGGATAAGGACTTGCAAGTTTGGTAAAGCCTTGAGCCAGAAAGGAAACGCGTCTTCGATTTCATTGTTCTCAACACTTAGAAACCTTAGAGAGGAGCAGTTTATGAGAGACCTTGTAAGCTTTCCATTTAGTTGATTGTAGCCAACATCAAGTGTCCGAAGAGAGGAACTGGTGTAGAACATGTCCGGGAGAATTCCTTTTAAACTGTTATTTCGGAGAACCAAATACGTCAGGTTACTCAAACAGCTAGGAACTGAACCAGTGAAACTGTTGACGGATATATCAAGAACCATGAGAGAGTTGAGGTTACAGAGTGAGAGAGGTATGGTCCCAGTGAAACTATTCCCCCAAGCAGACAAGGATGTAATAGAGAGTGGAAGATTAGGAAGTGCTCCTTGGAAACTGTTTGAAGCCAATATTAATATCTCCACAGATGAATTTACCAAAACTTCCGGTGAACCTTGGAAACCATTAAAAGAATTGTTTGACAAATCCATTGAACTCATGCGAGGAAGCTCCCACAACCATGCAGGGACTTCTCCTTTGATTCCATTGTGGGACAAGTCTATATGCTGCAAGTCTTGAAGGGTCTTTAAGCTGTTTGGGAACTCAGTGATGTTGCATTGTGACAGAAGCAAGAAGCCCATGCTCAGTGGGATGCTTGCATCTGAAGTTAAGCTGGCTGGTGATATGCTATTACCGGATAGGTCAAGGGAGAACAAAGACTTGAGAGAGGATAAAAAGGCTAAGTCAATTGGATGATGGCTTGTGTTTAGGAAAGACAGGCCAAGACGAATGAGGTTGGTGAGTTTTGAGAAAGGCTCTAGGGTTTTGCCTTCAAAATGGTTGTCCCCGAGGAACAAGACCTGGAGCCTAGATGAAGAAGATGAGTTAGGAACTTGAAAAGATCCTGCGAAGTTATTCCCACGTAGATCAATATATTCCAAGGAAGGCATAATGAGTAGAGAAGGAAGGGTTCCAGTGAAGTGATTATAAGAAAGGTCTAGATCATAGAGGTTGGTTAGGTTTTGTACTAGTGATGATAAACTACCAGTGAGCTCGTTACTGCTAAGGAGCAAACGGGTTAACCAAGTTAGGTTACTAAGTGTGGGAGGAACTTGGCCAAAGAAGCCATTATGGGAAAGAGACAACACTTGTAGTTTTCTGAAATTGCCAAACTGGGAAGGGATTGGAGAAATGAAATCGTTGAAAGCAAGGTTTAGTGTAATGAGTTGGTGCAAATCAAAGAGGCTACTATTAGGATTCAAAGTTCCTGAGAAGTGATTATTGGAAAGATCTAAATAGTTGAGATTGCTTAAATGCTGCAAAAATGGGAAACTACCAGTGAGTTGGTTATGGGAAAGGCCTAAATAGGAAAGCATGCTTAGGTTATTAAATGAGAATGGGACTTCACCTATAAAACTATTAAAGGAAAGATATAAAACCTCTAATTTGTTGAGGTTGCCAAACTCAGAAAGGAGTGGAGAGGAGGTGAAGTTGTTGCCAGCGAGATGAAGGTAACGCAAATGATGCAGCCTGAAGAGACTACTGTTAGGCTTTAAAGTTCCACTGAGACAGGCCCTGAGTTGTAGCTTTGTGACCTCATTCGTGGAGTTATCGCACCAGACTCCATTAGAGTTGTCACTATGGTTGCAACCACGAGTATCAAACTCGTTCTTGAACAGGGTAAAGGCTTGACTCTGGCGGGGAGGACAAGAAACAAGCCCAGTGACGAGATCATCTATAGTCGAGACGCTTGAAGGGGAGACACTACAGAGTAGTAAGAGTAGTGAGATAATATGAAAACGCACAAGAGATCCCAACGTGATTGTCATGAAATCTTTTTTAATGAAGAATGATTTCGTTTAAGCAAAGAGAGAGATAAAAAGAACTTGGTATAACTGAAGATGTGGTTGGCATTAGAACACAAGTTGATCCAGAAGAAGTTATAAATCTTTATGTCGGGGCCACTCCAATAGTGAAAAAGTTGATTTTTCAAACGTAATCACATCTCTTTGACAAGTTCAAAGGACGGTAGCTTGGACTTTTGGCTTGTTCATAAATTGCCAAATTTCGAAGTTAGTGTGCGCAAAAAAAGAAGGTAGAAGGTAGTGTGGGCAATGAATTATAGTGTGGGCAATGAATTAAGAGCATACCTCTATAAATTATATTATCTCCGTTTTAATTTAATTATCGTTATAGAGAAAATATTTGGTTTCAAAATAAATCTCGAGTTATAGTTTCAATGCAAAATTTATTAACTTTCTATGTCAATGTATTTTTCTATTGGTTGAAATATAATTAGCTATATAGGTAATGATGTTTTTGTTTCAAAAATACACAAAATAAAATATTATTTTAATCTATATGCACAAACTTAAAATAACAAGTAAAATGAACCGGAGGAATTAGTAAAATATATATATATATCTAATATAAAAGTGGATTTACTTTAATGTATGACTATATAATATAATTCTTCTATTGTAAAAGAAAATATTGATGAATAATACCTTTATCTTTATATTTAAAGAAGTAAATAACATATTTATATATTTTTCTTTAAAAATTTATTTTTCAAAATTTATATTTATTAATATATGTAAAAATAAGATAAAATAAACAATTTTTATTTCAGTTTATACTTAATAATATATGTATATATTTAAAATTAAAATTTTGGAAAGATTTTCTTATCTTTTTAGTTTGGTTAAAATATGTTAAATCAGATTCTATACAATTAAGAGAAAAATTGTTAGATATATAATTATCAAATAAAAAATTAAATAATATTTATAAAATTTATAGATGTTATTAATAAAACTAACTGTATTAGGATTAAAAAATATAATTTTTATAAAAATCCGCATAAAAGTTTGCAAAAAATTATTAATAAAAATTATGTAATTATCAAAAATAGACTTGAAAATTATATCAAAATTTGAAATATTGTTATATTTCTATTTTCCACTATTATATTATTTATTATTATGTTAATAATGTATGAATTATTACTATATTCTAAAAACTTACTAACTTTAAATGTAATGTAAATGTCACAATTCATTCCAAGATATGTTATCATCATTAGTGGAGATGTCATCATTTTTTAGTAAAATTGATTGTGGCGATTACACATGTTAAAATCACTTCACAAATACTATATAAGAGACTATATATTGAAATAAATGTATTTTATAACAAATATTTTTACTTTAAAAAAAATAGAGAAATGTAAATAGAGATGAGATGGAAATAGTTTATATAATTATTTGGAAGCTGAAAATTATTTATCATGTACAAGTGTGTAAACTTAAAGTACCAAGTGGCATAGACATGACCAGGTAACGTTAGTCAAGTGACGAATATTAATGGCATAGATAATGCGATTTAATTCGGAGAAACATATGGATCGACCCTAAAACATATTATCATCCCAGCCACTTCTTGTTACCATCCCACGCACTGTTCTGGACGTAATATATGGTTGTTGTTAATCTCTTGGTATTTGTCAGGGTGATATAGAGGATGTATCATCACTCTACCTTGACGAAAAGTCATCAGCAAAGCTTTTGCACAAGCAGCAAGAAAAATCAATACTATTAAATTAGAAACATGTTCAATTGATATTAGTTCAGTCCAATTTAAATATAATACAATATCTACATAACTACTAAGAAAATTATATGAAAATAACTAACTATGCACGGTTAATACAGATTTTGAAACCACTTCTTCCAAAACATCCGGGACCAACTTCTCCCAATAACTAAAATATGTCGGAGTACAATTTTCGTATAAGTAAAGTTTTTATGTTCTAAAATGACTTTCGTTTTTTATAAGGACACATGCAGAACAATATAGACCTCAACAGTATAAGCCTTTATATATAGTCATAGATATAAAGCTTTATTGCTTTTGCCGCAACGATAAAGAATCTAATATATTACTTGATAAATGACCTGTCCTTTGGAAAAATTAATGTTTTTATTTAAACCTGATTACATATTTAATATATTATATTTTTATTAAATTTGATTTTACTTAAAATTAGTAAAGACCATATAAACCCATTTACATATATATATAAGCCTTAATATATTAGATTTAATATATTAGATTTTTATTAAATGTCATTTTACTTAAAATTAGTTAGACCATATAAACCCATTTACATATATATATATATATATATATGTATATTTTTTGAAAAAATTCAATCATTTTCAAAAAATTTGTTCGATTTACGGTGCGAGTTTGGCTTGATATTGATTTTCGGATATAACATTTTAAGAACTGTTTGAATATATAAGTTAGATTTAATAGAGTATGAGATTTTGATTTTCGGTGTCGATTCCGAATTGGAATTTTTGGATACAAATACTTTCCATTAATTATGTTAGGTGATTAATAAAGAAATATAAGAAGTTGTAATCTTTATGAATAAAGTTTAAAAATAATTTCTAAAATATATATGCCATAAGTGTATAGTTATGCAATTTGACATATTAACATAACTATCAAAAATACATTAAATTTAAACACCACTAAGATTACAAGAAAAACATAAATATAAAAAATAAATTTCTAGAAAAAAAAATAAAAACTATACCCGCCCTTTCAGGGGCGGGTTAAAATCTAGTACATGTCATAAAGAAACATACTAGTCGCATGTTATTGCTTCTCTTTAAGCGATTGTGTAATGAAGAAATCTAAATTGAATAAGATAGAATTGGTTGCATGATACCATTCTACTTGAATAATTCGATTTCTAAGTTTGGTTTTCCTAGTTCCATATCAGACTTGGAACAGTTCTTCAAGAACAAAACAACTTGCAGAGTCTAATAATGTCTAGAGAATTATTAACAGTAACGGTAGAAGAGCAAGAGGGGGTGATCCTCAATTGAAAAATATATCTGGGCCAAATTTGCAAACATTAGAAAGGTGTGGGGGTGTCTTTATAAAACTTTCGCTACAGAGGTTTTAGTGTAAGAGTAGAGAACCAAAAGGCTAGGGTTTTTGTTTACGAGGAAGAAGACGAAGATGGCGACGAAATCGTTAACCGTCGAAGCAGTTCTAAAAGAGAAGAAAACCCAAGACCTCGATTCCGTCAAGGAACTTAATCTCGGCCACAGAGCTCTCACCGACGTGAGTTTCCTCTCCTTTCGTTTCTGCAAACTCTGTTCCCAAATTGAAACGAAAAAAAAAACCCTAATTTGTGATGATTGATTCAGGTGTCTTGTTTGAGCAAGTTCAAAAACTTGGAGAAGCTTGACCTCCGTTTCAATAATCTCACTGATCTTCAGGTGAAAAGCAAGAAGAGACTTTAAAAACGATACCTTTACTTGAATATTAGTAGCTGAAAGGTTTTTGAAGCTTATGTTTATGTTTTGTTGGTTTTAGGGACTTAAGGATTGTCTGAATTTGAAGTGGCTGTCGGTTGTGGACAATAAGTTGCAGAGCTTGAGTGGGATTGAAGGATTAACTAAGCTTACAGTAAGTTCAGTTTTATTTCATTTGTTAATTCATGAAGTTGTTCAGCACTGAAGATGAAGTTTTGGTTTGGATTCAGGTGCTGAATGCTGGAAAGAATAAGCTCAAGTCTATGAATGAGATCTCTTCTCTTGTCAATTTGTGTGCCTTGATTTTGAACGGTGAGTTGGAACAACACAAGTCCATGGTATCTATCCACAAGCTATTACTGATGACTTGTTTTCGTTTCTTGCAGACAATGAAATCTCCTCTATTTGCAAGCTAGATCTACTCAAAGACCTGAACAGTCTCGGTATGTTCTCAACATGTTACTCTCCTTTTAGAAGTTTCCTAGTTTCATCTACTTGAAGATTTTGTTGTGGATATGATGCAGTGCTTTCTAGGAACCCTATCAGTGAAATCGGCGACTCACTTTCAAAGTTGAAAAAACTCACAAAAGTAAGCTTTGACTTTTCTCATGTTTCGAGAATCAAAACTAAAATTTAATCCTTTCTTGATCCCTTGTTTCAGGTTTCTTTGTCTCACTGCAGAATAAAAGCTATTGGGTCTTCTCTCAAGTCATGCTCTGACTTGAAAGAGCTACGACTCGCCCACAATGAGATTAAGGTTATCTCTCTCTTCCATAAGATAAACACTCAGGCCAGAGTACCAATTCCAGTCTTTTGTTTATATTACTGATGGCTATGTTTCCTTTACGCTTACACACGTTCAGGCTCTCCCAGCAGAACTTGCACTCAACAAGAGACTACTGAATTTGGATGTGGGAAACAATATGATCACAAGTCTCTCTGGTGTAGAGGTAAAAGCAGACTTTTCTCCTTGTCTAGCTGGCGTTGATCTAAGTTGTTGTGTTCCTAAATGATGATAGGTTTTGGGTACACTATCTTGCTTACGAAACTTGAATATTAGAGGAAACCCCATCTCTGATAACGAGAAGTCAGCTAAGAAGGTACAGCCACTTTCTTTGTACTTAGTGTTTCCTACGTGTAGAAAGCAAATACGGATGAGAATGTATATGTTTTAATGTTCACAGGTGAGAAAGTTGCTTCCTCCTTCAGTGAATGTATTTAACGCTAAACCATTGGAGAAAAGCTCGAAGAATGCAAAGCATGTTAGATTTGATACCGAAGATGAAACCTTTGATAGTCGTCACAGCAAATCAGCAGCAGCAGAGGAAGAAGAATCCAAAGTGGAACGGAAAAGCAAGAAGAGCTCTAAGAGAAACAAGTCAGAGGAAGAAGAAGAAGAAGCTGATAATGAAGGTATCAAGAGCAAGAAAAAGAAGTCTAAGAGCAACCCAAATATAGATCAAATTCAAGTAGAAAAGAAGGAAGAAGATAAACAGAAGAAAACTCCGGGTAACAATGAAGCTGATGCTGCTGAGAAGAAACAGAAAAGGGATAATCCTAAGAAGTTAATAGATGCTATCGATGATGCTGAAACCTCTTTCGCTGAAGTCTTTTCCCGCGTTGAAACCGTTTTAAAGGATTCTGAAGATGGTGTTGAGAGGAAGAAGAGAAGCAGTGTGCAAGAAACAGGTGTGGTGAGAGTGGTAGATACTAAACGTAACAAGAAGAAGAAGACAACAGGAAACAAGCAAAGCAAGAGTGCAGTGGCTGAGCTTCCTGGGGAAGTTGAAATCGGGTTGGGAGGAGAGTCAAAATGGGAGTAAACCGTAAAACTTAAAACTCCGATGGTGCAGTAGATGGAGTGTTCACATTTCAGAGGTAAGGGATAAGTTGTGTTAGTGAAAACAAATGTTTAGTGATTTTGATCTTCCTTTGAAAACAGTTTTGTAGCGTTGAGAAGGTTCAGTTTTGTTGTGAGATGCACTTTGTTTGATATTTTCATACAGTTTTTTATGGAACGCTTTGTCATGTTTCTGGTGAAGTGTTGAACATGTGGAAAGTTCATATTTTTGTTTCGAGTGACGAAAGGGCCCAACCTGAAGTGGGCTAATTCGCTAAAGTTCTTCAAAACTTAAAAAATAGAAGGTCCCACCGAAACGTGAACTCGGGTTACTGGATTCAGAGTCCAATGTCCTGACCACTAGACCATGGGACCAATTTCCTTATCCCAATTATTTACTATTCTCAAATCTTTTCAAAGTCAAGATCTGACATGTAATCTAATTTGTATAACCATTTTCATCATTTTGTTGACTTAAGTCCAAGAAGTTTTAGGAGGTTTAGAAAGGGCAAAACAAAAGCGGTTGTGAAAACAGTAGAGTTTTTTGTATAAGTTGAACTCTCATTAAAGTTACACAAATATATACAGCAATGTGAAATCCAATGAAAAGGTTAAATTAGACACTAGAGATAACAGTGGAAGTTGTGAATTGCCAGTTACAAAAAAAATTATGAGTTTGCTGCAGGTTTAACTAAGAATATAAGAATGCTATACTATTTGGACAGATTATTACAAATGGTTACGGTGAATCCTTGTAAGAGTTGTTATTACTTTTGAATAACTACGAAAAGTCTATAGTATAGCATTTTGTCAATTTATCCACGTGATTTGCGAGTAGTAGTCAAAGACTCGAAAGGATAAAGAGAGAAACAGAGTAGTTAGGACCCATATATATCAGAGCCGTTCATCTATGTTCTATTTTCTTGCATGATCGTGGGACCCTCTTGGCCTCACAAATAAATCAAATTTAATTCTGAATTGTTATAGCAAATATGAATAGTATATAGATATAGAATCTGGAGGAGGGATTTGATTTGGCTGACAGAGAAGGCATCTCTTGGGATGTTCCATTAGGGTATTTCATTATTGTTGTAGTCAGCATGTGCATGTCTCTAATATGCCAAACACAAAAATACGAACTCATGTAATCAAATTTATTTTGAATTTTTTTAAGTTTCATTTCATGGCATTGATTTTGAGTTGTGGATTTTGATTAGCAAATTAGTAATTGTTAAGGATATACTCTCTTTGTTCCTAAAAGATAGATTTTCTAGTGTTTTCACTTTTCACACATATTAAAAAAAACACATTAAATCACTATCGTTTTCAGTAATTTTCAATTTTCAACAATTTTTAACCAATAGTAATCTAATAAAACCAATTAATTTTTTTGAAACTTGTAATTTTCTCATAGAAAACATAGAATATACATCTTTTTGAAACAAAATATTTTTCTAGAACATTGATCTTTTAGGAACGGAGGGAGTATGAAAGAAATTTTAGTTATGATTTACAAACTTTCTTTGTTTCTCATTTCAAACATTAAAATAGAAAGCCAAGTAGTATTGAAGTCCATAATCAATGCATGATTAATGAGAATTCTTGAGATGAAGTTCTTAGTGGAATATAATAAACATGTCTCTTAATTTTTAACTAAAACAACTAAAAATCAGTTTTTAGTGGAATATAATAAATCGTCTCTTAATTTTTAACTACAACAACTAAAAAAACAATTCTTAAATATTTTATTTAACAACCGATTTTTATTTTTTAGTTAAAAATTAAAAGATAATTTCTTATATTACGCTAAAAACTCTCCCTAAGAACTTCTATTAATCATGCTCCTAGTAACCAAAATTCTTTTCTCAGATCTCAAATATGTTTCTCTTTGTCTATACATTTTTTCCAATCATTTCGTCAAAAAATGTCAAAATGCAAGTGTTCTGTCTAAAAATAATACTGAATTTTTGTCATAGCATGGTGGTAGATGCCTTAGTTTGGAGAATATAGTTCGTCTTTTAATTTTCATGAAAACTACTGATCAAACTCTATTTGCAATTGCTGTTCATATTGTTCCCAAAATAAAGCTTATCAATAGTTAACTGAACCAAACCATGTTAAAGTGCATGTGATGTAAACCTATATCTAGTTAGACTTTTAGCAAGTCCTATTGTCCTCCTATCAAAAAGTAAGGTACTAACATGGACTGGTATACCTTTTTACTAGTCGTTGTTGCATTAATGAGTTACCGGCAACAAGATTTAACAGTTATGGAAACACTCTATTTCTTTAATGACATTGAATAACATTGGGTTAATGTATGTTCAATGAACCCTGCAAAAACATTGCCAACGAGACAACGCACACAAACAAAACACCACACATAAACACTTTCTATCCTTGTTCCCATCTTCCGTCTTCCTCCACTTTCTTCTCCCAAGAAAATAACACAATTTCCCAGATTCAAACTTCTCTTTTTTCAACGTCTTCTAAAGAAAGCAAGAATCTATCGTCTCTAGTTCTTCTCTTTTTGTAGTATATATATAAAAAAACTACTTTGCTCTTTTTCTTCTCATGGTAGATAGCATTTACACTAATAAACTTCAGAGAAAAGCAAAAGAAGATCAATCTTATTAACTTTCTCTTTTTGTATTATCTCTTATCACTCACTTTAAAGTCTCCTCAGAGATTCAAAATCAAATTCTTCCAGAAACTGCTTCAAGCTTCTACTTGATCAACCTCATGACCCACTTCTCATAAAAAACACCAAACCAATTCCAACTCTTTGCTCATTCTTTTCTCTAGTTTCCGGCAAGATCAAACACAGTTTCGTGTTCTTGTTTTTATTTTTATTTTTATTTTTTAAATAAACAAAAATAAATAAAAATATGGATAGGAAGAGAGGGTGCAAGATCAGGAAGAGAGGTTGCTCTTCCTCCTCTTCTTCTTCCCTTGCTCGTCGAAACCGCTTCAAACGCGCCATTTTCGCCGGGAAAAGAGCTTCGCTAGATGACGGTGGCGGCTCAGGAACTCCGGTTAAGTCCATCTCCGCCGTTAAAACTCCCGTACTCTTACCTTTTTCGCCGGAAGAACCTCCTGTGGAACAATTACAGAAACGCTGCGTGTCAGCGAGAAAGCTTGCGGCAACGTTATGGGAGATCAGCGACGGCACAGATCCTCCAGTATCCGATGGAGATTGCGTGAGAAGCAAGAAACCACCGAGAAACAGAAGGGAGAAACCAACAGAGATCCCTTTCCCTGATTTCCCGCTAAAATCATCCAATCCTACTTCCAGCGAGGTTAGTGTTTGGCTTGCGTCTCAAGTCTCCTCTTTTTCTTTTCCTTATCCATTTCTGGAACCCTAAGTCTTTGATAATCAAATTTTTAGAGGATCCTTCTCGGAGATGATAGAGTTCGTAGAAAATCAACAATTCCTCAGAGACTACAACTAATCGAATACAAAACCATGGGCACAAACTCGGTAACCTTTTTTTTACATTTATTTATTAAATAAAACCTTTCTTGCTTGACAAGAAACCTCTGATTGGTTAAAACCGGACAACAGGTGAAAACTCGTTTCAAGAATATCAGCGAGTGTTTAACGACGTCTAAAGAGCTCGTAAAAGTCTTAAAAAGGATCGGCCACCTCGGAGATGATCACAAGACCGCAAGCACTCGTCTAATCACTGCTCTGCTCTGTGAACTAGACAGAGCAAGATCATCCCTGAAGCATCTGATGAGCGAATTTGATACAAGGGAGGAGGAGACGAGGAGGTTAATAGAGAAGTTGCAAGAAGAGGCGGTGGCTGAAAGAAAGCTCCGGCTAAGAACGGAGAAGACGAACAAGAGATTAGTAATAGAGCTCGCGGAGGCAAAGGAAAAAGAGAGGAAGATGAAGGAGGAGATGGAGAGAGAGAAGAGAGCCAAAGACGTTCTTGAGGAAGTTTGTGATGAGCTCGCGAGAGGTATCGGAGATGATCAGAAAGAGATGGAGAAAGAGAGAGAGATGATGCATATAGCTGATGTTTTGAGGGAAGAGAGGGTTCAGATGAAGCTCACGGAGGCGAGACATGAGTTCGAGGAGAAACACGCCGCCGTGGAGAGGCTGAAGGAAGAGCTCCGGCGTGTTGTGGATGGTCAGGAGGGAAAAGGGTCGTCGGATATTCGGAGGGTTTTAGAGATAGTAGATGGTTCTGATGATGATGATGATGATGATGGTGATGATGATGATGATCTAAAGTCTATTGAGCTGAACATGGAGAGTGGAAGTAAGTGGGGTTATGTTGATAGCCGGAGAGATGGTCAGACAGAATCAAGATTTGTTGGCTCCGGCGAAGATGATGATGATTATGATGATCATGTACTGGAGAAGAGATCAGTGATTGTTGATAATGGGGAGAGAGATGAGTCTTTGAAGACTCTAAGAGATTACATTGTTTCTAATGTGACTTTCATAGGCTCTTCATCGTCGGAGCAGTGGAATCATCGGCACTTACCTAGTGTGGAGTTTGTGTAATCATCGGAGCTAATACCGGCAAGAAAAAAAATGTATCAATTTTTGTAATGTATATCAATTTAATTCCTTAATTTTTGAATTTATTGAACGAAAAACAATTATTTTGACTACATAAACATTCTATTTCCACCTTTAGGGCCGGGCAAAAAAAACCGAATCTGAAAATCCGAACCGAACCCGAAAATCCGAACCGAATCCGACCCGATAAAAAGAAATCCGAACCGATCCGAATCTGACATAAGTACCGAATGGATCTTGTTTTACGGTTTTTCGGGTTATGGGTATTACCCGAACCGAACCTGATGGAACCCAGGACCTGGACCAGGACTTGGAACAGACTCAGGACGATCAGATCAGTCCAACTGAGGTTCAGCCATTCAGCCATGCCAATCAGACCAACCGAGCTGTTTACCGGATCGAGCCGAGTAAGTCCGGGAAGGAGCTTAGGCTGGTTCCAAGATCAGATGACCATACTGACCGTTCATCACGACCCACTCGA